TACCCCAACAGGCTGCAAACCCCAAAGGAAATGTTGAGTATGCTCCAGTAACAGAATTCACTGTGACACCCAATACTACTGTCCCCAATGTCCCTCCCAGCCAGGCCTTTGTATTGAAGAGTGCTTATGGATCTATCACACATCACTACACTATTAGTGAAGTATATGTGAAGTGAAGATATTTTTCCAGTGTCCGCTATCTGCTATTTCCCTGTATGACCTGGACTGTTTATCGACAATGCCTCTGCTTGCCACCTGAACTGACCCTGACTCTTTATTGATGATGCCTCTGCCTGCCACTTAAACCATCAACTATGTTTCTGCTTTCCATGTGAATTGACCTCAGCCTGTTAATCGACCATGCTTTTTGCCTGCAACCTGAACTGATCTTTTGCCTTGTCACTGTATTAGTGGGATTAAAGACAACACAGGGGTCTCACATAATATGTGAGGCAATTCAGAATAGTTTTTCGAGTGGAAAAAAATAAGTTTTTTGCTTTCTATGGGTTTTGTAATTCTTGGATCGGGGTCTGCAGACCAGAGGCTTCTAAGAGATTTGGGTGGAAAGAAGCATCTACCCCTGTGTCCAGGTTTTACCTGAACAAGTCCCTAAGCCCGATGTGTCTGTCTGCTGCCATGTGACCCTGGCCTGTTAATCAACCATGCCTCTGCCTGCTACCTGTACTGCCTGCTTATGGACCATGTTCCTGCCTGCTGCCAGGACAATTCCTTTGGCTGGTGCTGACCACATCTCTGTAGGCTGCCTGAACCAATGCTTTGGCTGTGCTGGCAATATCTCTGCTTGTTGCCTGTACTGACTATGTACAGTACTCCTGCTTGCTGCCTGGACAATTCCTTTTGCTGTCGCTGACCACGTCCCTGCCTGCTGCCTGGATCAATTCTCCGCTCTGTGGATAACTGCACTACTAATACCACAGGTAATCTTTTGTTTACTCTTTGCTTAGCAGAATGTAATTTGGGGTGTAAGTCTTGGTATGTATATGCTATATGTTAGAAGCCTGAAGGTGCTACTTGGGTATTGGTCCTCTGAATGTGGCCAGACTGCATACAAATCTCACACATGTGGTATCATCATAGTAGAAAGCATTTTGGGGTGTAATTCTTGGTATGTACATGCTATGTATGTGTTAGAAATATTTTATAAATTAAAGACTTTATGTAAAACAAAACGTTTTAATTTTCTTTCCACATTTTCCAAAAACTTGCGTGGAAAAAATTAAATGTTCAAAAGACTCAATGTTCCTCATAGAATATACATTGGGGCGTTTGCTTTCTAAAATATGGTAATTTTGTGGGTGTTTCTATTGTCCTGGTGCTTCAGGGCCTTCAAAAATGTGATACATAGTCAAGAAATTAAATGTGTATAATTTATGCCTCTAGAACGCCAATAGGTGCTACTTGGATGTTGGGCCTCTGTGTGTGGCCAGGCTGTGGAAAAGTCTCACACATGTGGTATTACGCAGAAGGAGTAGCATAATGTATTCTGGGGTGTGATTCTTGGTATATAGATGTTATGTGTTAGAAATATCTTATAATTTGACAAGTTTGTATAAAAAAAATATGTTTTAATTTTCTCTCCACATTTTCCAAAAACTTGTGGAAAAAAAAATAACATGTTCAAAAGACTCATTATGCCTCATAGAAATATACATTGGGGCATTTGCTTTCTAAAATGGGGTCATTTTGTGAGTAATTCCATTGTTCTGGTGCTCCAGGGCTTTTGAAAATGATAGTCAGTCAGGAAATTAGATGTGTAATTTATGCCTCTAGACTGCCTGAAGATACTACTTGGATGTTGGTCCTCTGTATGTGGCCAGGCTTTGGAAAAGTCTCACAGATGTGATATCACCATACTCAGGAGGAGTATCAGAATGTATTTTTGGGTGTAATTGCAAGTATGCCTATGCCGTGTGTGAGAAATAAGTGAGTTGATATGCCAATTTTGTGAAAAAAAAAAAAATTCTTCATTTTCCAAACAATTGTGGGAAAACAATTACAGCTTCACAAAACTCCCCATGCCTCTTACTAAATACCTTGGATTGTCTTCTTTCCAAAAAGAGGTCATTTTTATTTGTGCTGTCCTGACATTTTAGGGCCTCAAGAAATGAGATAGGCAGTTAGTACATCAGGATTGATCAATTTTCAATCATACGTAGCATATGTAGACACTATAAATTTCACACAAACCAGTTTATCATATACATATCAGAATTTTTTTTTACCAAAGACATGTAGCAGAATACATTCTGGCCTAAATTCTAAATTTATGATGAACAAAACATTTTTTATTTTTTCAAAATGTTTACAATTTTTTGCTCATATAGCAAAACATAAAACACAGTGGTGAATAAATACCACCAAAAGAAAGCTCTATTTGTGAGGAACAAATGATAAAAATTTCATTTGGGTACAATGTAGCATGAGTAATTGTCATTCAAAGTGTGAGAGCACTGAAAGCTAAAAATTAGTCTGGGCAGGAAGGGGGTAAGAGTGGCAAGCATTGAGGTGGGTAAGCTTTGATAATAAAACCTAGAATCTGAATGAATACTATGCACAGCTGCACCAGATTCTATGTGCAGCACTTTTAGTAGCTACCCCCCCAATCATAAATATTTCCCAAACAACGATTGTTATCCCCACAACGTATATAGTAATAATTAATAAAATATGTTTAACTATATACCCCACCTTTTGTTTACTGATCAAGTTCACAATCGTTTTAGAGATATTTATTGAATATCATATTTGTACATTATTATTCACAATTTTTGTGGGTGGGGCAGGGGCGGACTGACCATTTGGAAACTGCCCAAGGGCCCGGGGTCAGTAGGGGGCCCCATGAGATGCCCCTGGTACCTTTTTCATAGGCTTTTTTTGAGTTTGGGCAAGGACACAGGGGCCCCATGATCCCCTATTGCCCGGTGACCCCATGAGTTGTCAGTCCGCCCCTGGGGTGGGGTGTATAGTGCACTACAGAGATATATGCTCATATGCACTTCTGTAATCCTTGTAAACCCATGGGATATGAGCAGGGTCACACCAAAAATGTACATGTTAACATGTTTTGTGCTGATGTGTGTAGAAATGCATGTGTTGAGGCACTTTGTGCCGTATTAAAAACTTAATTCAATTGACTTGAAAAGCAAAATACAGATTAACAACTTTTCACAGCAACTTATTGATTCATGCATTTTGTTAGTTTTGATTATGTAGCAAAATGCACAAAACAGGTCTGTCATGAACATGTCCTCAAAAGTCATAAAGCATCTATTTGACCTAGTCATCAGAATGACAGATTTCCCAGGCAGGTGGGGCAATCTTTGCCAATTCTTACTAGGAACCACAGTAATTGTAATTAGTTCCCTCTTTTGAAAAGGAGTGACTTTTTAGAGCCACCAGTTTTCACTGCATGTAGTGCTGTAGAATGCCTTTTCATAAGAATCACAACAAGCGTTCTGCACAGATCACACATACACAGCTTCAGGCAATGAGACTACTACAAGATGACAGATTACATTGCCCCAGTGCCTAACTCAAGAACAACAGTCCTAATACTTTAGGGAGCGTTTATCCAGAAAGTGACACTCCCACAAACTGCTCAGCACAATTATCTTCTTTTATTGACTGACTTGACTGCCAAGTTAATAATAGGGGAAGGTCTAGCAGCGTTTTTGAAAAACTCAATCACATCATTAAGCCTTGTACACAAGCTTTTCAGCTTGTCGAAGAGTAGTGAGTACAACGAACTTTTACAATGCATTTGCAAAGCTTTCAGAGAGCTTCAAGCAGTTTTCTTTGATGCCTATAAAGCAACCTTCAAATCTACTTGATAGATGCTTAAAGTGTATGTAAACCCTAACAATGAACTATTCTTATATGCAATCGTTTGTTGTGTTAAATATGCAATTGAAAGTTGTCAGCACCTGTGGTAGTGACCCCTTGTAGATAGTCAACTTGGGGTTCCCCCGGGCATGTAGTCTAAGCCCCAGCCTGCTTCTTCACCAGAGCCCCTGATGGTGGGGATAGACTTGCAGCAAGCTGGGACCAGGTCGCGGCCCCCGGGTACGCCCTGCTGAGGATGAGGAGACCGCTCGCCGGAGCAGAGTATAATGGAAGGAGACAAACGGAAATCTGCTAGACTAGCCGAGGACAGGACGGGCGAAAAACAAGCACATTCAGAGAAAGAAGCCCGAGTCGGTACACGAGTAGTCAATGCAGGATACAGGAGATAGCAACACACAGGAGCTCGACAACTAGGAAGTTGCTCAGGCAAAGTGGCCTAGACTGAGTATGTCTTATATAGGCAGGCAAACAAGGAGGCGGGCCAGGAAGTGATGGAACAGCAGACGACGCCCATGGGTGAGCACAGACAAACACACATGTGAAAGGGATCAGGAACAGCACTGCAGCAAAGAGGTAAGAATACACAAACAAGAAACTACAGGCTAACTTGTGACAAAAGTGTTTTATTATATCTGTTCAAAAAGTGTATGACATTCCTGTTGTTTAGAAATGACTTGTGCCTTGTTATCTAAATGGAGGAAATTATATCCCCCTTCTCCCACCAGTTATTATCTTCAGACTTCAGAATGATTAGTCTCTCTCTTGTAAATATGAAGAGAGTGGGAGGAATAGAGTAGTTTAGCAAAAGGCAACTGGGTAGGGCTGACACCACTCAATCTACAAAATTGCTTTGTGTTGTCAGCCCTCAACAGGATCTAGGAACTGACTGCATATGTGGCAAATTAACAAATTTTTTTTATACTTGCAGGGTCGTTAAAAGTATAAAACAACGGCAAAATTGCATTCTTTGCAGAGGTGTATTTTGACCTACAAAAAAAAGTTGTTACCAGGCTTTCAAGAAGTTTCAATTGGTGCCACAGTTTGTTGAAGCCTGCTAGTTGGCTTACAATGCCTGAAAGGAAATGTATAATCTTTTAAAAAAATGGGGGAAAATATCAGTGCGTCTTATGGAGCGAATATACAGTAAAGCGGCCAGTCCGGTATTTCCGCCGCCACCATGTCAGAATACCGGGCCAGCCGCTCAGCTGCTCTTACCTGTTCCTCGGTCCAGCGCTGCAGTCTTCCCGCGCTGGCTTCTTCCCGCCCCGGCATCTGTGACAGCCGGGTGCCCACTGCGCATGCATGAGAAGCGCTGCACTTTGTGAATGGTCCGCAGTGTCTGGTCATGCCCTGTACTGTCCTGCAGTCTCTGGTCATCCCCTGTACTGTCCGCAGTCTCTGGTCATCCCCTGTACTGTGTCCGCAGTCTCTGGTCATCTCCTGTACTGTGTCCGCAGTCTCTGGTCATCCCGTGTACTGTGTCCGCAGTCTCTGGTCATCCCCTGTACTGTCCGCAGTCTCTGGTCATCCCCTTTACTGTCTGCAGTCTCTGGTCATCTCCTGTATGGTGTCTGCAGTCTCTGGTCATCTCCTGTACTGTGTCCGCAGTCTCTGGTCATCTCCTGTACTGTGTCCGCAGTCTCTGGTCATCTCCTGTACTGTGTCCGCAGTCTCTGGTCATCTCTGTACTGTCCGCACTGTGTACCGCAGTCTCTGGTCATCTCTGTACTGTGTCTGCAGTCTCTGGTCGTCTCCTGTACTATGTCCGCAGTCTCTGGTCATCTCCTGTACTGTGTCCGCAGTCTATGATCATCTCCTGTACTGTGTCCGCAGTCTCTGGTCATCTCCTGTACTGTGTCCGCAGTCTCTGGTCACTTCCTGTACTATGTCTGCAGTCAATTGGTTCAGAATATTTTTTTTTCTTGTTTTTCTCCTCTAAAACCTAGGCGCGTCTTATGGTCAGGTGCGTCTTATGGAGCGAAAAATGCGGTATACCTATTTAAAACATCTCCAGTATGGGCATTTTTACTCAAGAAAATTTTAAATAGTATTGTTAGGCTAGAACCATAATCCTGTTGCATTACCCTACTTTATTATATGGTAAAAGTTTCCGTGAGCAATTCTGCAGACCCACTCCAAATTTATGTTGAGGTTTTTCCCTACCAGATATACTGTATATACAATATAAGAAAGTTAGCAAACATAAGACAGACAGCTCCATACTGTTTCATCAGTATAAGAATGCCAGGAAATTAAAGGGTCTCCTTTGAGTAGAAGAATGTATACCAACATATGTTTGGCAAACTGTGTTTCTCACATACTTTCTCAACACAATCTGTATATACTTCCTATGCTAAAAATTTAACTAATTTAATTCAGAGCATCTCAAGACTGAAGAATCTAGTCTTAAAGTGCTTATTGGCTGTCTTTAATGAGTCATTTGGTTCATATGTAGCTGATAATGAAAAAGGAAGGCTATGCAATTACAAAATATGCTTCTTCTGTAGTTTTAGAATGAATGTTCTTATATTACACATATATGGTGCAGAGTTTTTGTCATTTTTTATTTTTTTGTAGATTGGAAAAATTCGCAAAACCTTAAGGCCTCAAACTCATCAGCATCAAATCCCAGCGTTTTTGGGTACCCGGGAGGAACAGGTGCAGAATCTGCACCTGCTGTCAGCAGTCTGTTAATATCTATGACAGGCTGAAATATGCAGCATCTGGATGTATCTGGACACTGTACAGAGAGGTACCTGCATTCAGGGCCATTTGATTCAGAGATGTATGCCCCCAGTTCAGAATTCTTCAGAAACAGAGTAACTGTCACATACCTGATAGAAGTCTGAATTGATGAGGTCAGCCTCTCTTGTATCTCCAACCCAGCCCCATTGAAGGTGGAACAGATGGTGCCGAGGAACAGGAGAAACACGAGTGCCTGCGGATATTGATTGCAGAACTTGCGGCTGGAGGTGTATCCTCGGTAAATCAAGCAGGGCATCCAGTCAGGAACAGAGGAGATGCTGGAACTGCCAGCTGAGGTTAAGGAAGCACTCCACTGGAACTGCAAGATCTGGGTACATGGCTTGCTGGAACTTCTGATAAGCGTGAGGCTGGAACACACCGTGACAACCGGAGCTGATATAATAGATAGCCAGGACAAGCACTCGGCAGACTGTAGAGCCAAACCGGATCCGGAAGCATAGTCAGAGTAATAAGAAAAAGAGAGAAAGGTGCCTCTAAGTGCAGTATTGACAATTTATTTAGTAAACAATGGATAAATTACACTTACAAGATAAATAGTTAAAAAGACTCATCATGTGGTGTAATAAGATCCAGGTGGGACATCCAGCGTCCAGCAGCAAACTCTGTCTATAGGATCAGGAAGTAGAGTCTAGGATGTACCTGTGCATCAAAATAAAGCTTGGAGAGCAGAGTCGGATGTAGCAGGTGAAGGGGGCAGTAATGCAATTCGGAGCATGCTCAATAGGCTCCTTCTTCAGACCTGAGCCCCAATAGATCCCTGACATTTTTATAGTGTGAAGGGAATGGGAGGAAGGCAAGTAGTTCCTGGGTCCTAAGGACCAACATGTTTTCCTGCATCGTACATGAATTAATACAGATATAAATAAGATATAAAAACAGAAATAAAAACACACAAGAGAATAGCTCTAATGCTTTTGGGTTAAAAAGTATACGAGTGTGTATGTATACATATAATAACATATATAAAAAAATGGCATATTCGATAGAAGGGAAATAGAAAATGACAATTAAATCTAAAAGTAAATAGAATAGAACAATGGAGGTAAAAATAAATGTTAATAATAATGAATATCAATGAGATAATGAAAAAGGTAGATTATTGTACCATAAAAAAAAATTAATAGAAATAAATATAAAAGCAAAATTAAAAACAAAGTTAGCAAAACGCATTATAATAAATGGGCTTGCTATAATATTATGTGAATTTTATGTATCTCCTTATTATCCCTTTGTGATGTACTAAAAGGGATCGTAGTTAAGTGAGAGAGGGATAAGGAAGGGATATACCTAAATTTGTTGGCGGAAAGGACTACTAGTGATAAAGTACAAACAGCTGTATAAGGATATTGTATTGATATTTATAACCACATAAATATAAATATCAACACAAAAATCAGACCCCCCCCCCCCCCCCCCCCCACAGAAAGCCTGGACACCAACCAACACCCCCCCCCCCCACCTAAGAGAGCCTTCCACTACCATCACCTTCCATACACCAGCCACCCCAACCCCCATCCCACCCCCCAGCAAGAGAGAGAAAGACTCTCACCTTCACAGCTCCAGACATCCCCTGGAATAAGAGTCAAGCTCTGCATACACCGTCAAGGAGCCCACAGCCTCTCTTGGATCCTACCCGGTCCCCATGCAGTGTGTGTCCCTTCTTCTGTCTCTTCTTCCAGGGGGCAGTGCTGCCTCCCTGAAAAATCCCAATCTAGGCAAATGCCTTGTTTGCCTTGTGGTAAATACACCCTTGCTTTAAATTACAGGACAATATTGACTATTACGCAACCATAGACAAGAACACAGAAAGCCAAAGAAAATTACTGCTGTTGGAATGCATTTACTTTTTTCATTTCGACTTGTCTATTGGGTATCAAAACTCAAGAAACAGTAACCTACTTTGTAAGCCTGCATTCTGCTGACCATCTGACTGCACACCCCAATAGGAGCAAGAGCTTTACACATAAAGTCTACTGCACTGCTTTCAATAGCATAGTCTTTTAATTTTCTTAAACATCTGTAATGTAATTAATCATTACAAGCTGGAGTCATAGGGTGTAAAGTTACTATTGCCATTTTTTCAATGAAACTGCTTTTGGTGACTTCAGCGATCAACACTGACTTAACTACTCACATAAAACACTAAAACAATAATCCCCCAATTTCCATGCTTTTAGTGTTTTTAGGTGAGTAGTTAATAAAGATTCATTCCTTTTTTTTATACAGGTACAACATGGTCTCCTAATGTTATACAAATAGATGTTGAATGCTGTGATAGTTACCTATAGATGGTGACCATCCACACACAGACACTGACTCCCTATCGCATAAATGTGAATGAAATTAGTAAAAAATGGCTTCAGCTCTTGTTCTCCACCTGTCAAGAGACGCGTTTCACTCTTTTCAGGGCTTAATTGCAAAGGCTGAGAATCGACTATAAAGTTTCATTTGGAGGACTGGTTCTTTTAAAGAGTATGTAAACCCAACATTTCATATTCATAATATGTGCCTGCTGTACCATGTACTCGTATAAAAATATATCCTGTTCTCTTTGTATTACTTCCTTGGTAAAATCCCTGGTGTTCCTGTTAATCCCTCTGCTTTCCTATTAAAACATACCAAGAAGGAGAAATCACTGTGATCAGTTCTCTAGCTGTGCTGGGAACTCAGAGCACTCTCCTCCAATGATCAGACTTGTCCTGACACCCCTCCCCTGCACAACCCTTCACTGGAAAGATCAGTGTGCTGCCATTTCTCCTCCTCCAGCTCTTATGCAGCTGAGAACAGAGGAAATGTGATCGCTTTTTAAAAAAGGAGAAAAGAGTGTTTGTAAGGTTTTTTTAATGTCAAAACACAAATGTTTTACCTTTCATTTCTATTTTAAACTGAATGGTTTGTTTTACATGGTGAGGGTTTACATATACTTTAATTTTCTCACCAAAAAACATGACAAGAGGAGTGATATCCATAGAAACACCCCTAAGCCCACATACTGTGCTGGCAGCCTGCTATTGCTGTTATCTAGAAATCTGTCATGCTTATCACGTGGCATTGTTGCACGTTTCAACTTCATTCAGACTCTTCTTTCTATATAAATGTTCTTGGCTATAGAACCATAGGCTACAACAGGCTAGATGTTTAATAGGTGCACAAAATGCAAATACAACCTATAAATATAGTAGAAATGAGAACAAAGTGGTACAAAACTATTAAAAGGTAATATTGTCAAAAAATGGTGAAAATGTAAGACTGTTAAAACATTATTGTAAAATGTAAAACATCCTCATGTATTCTATCATTCTCAGTTTCACTGAGATTAACAGCCTTGCCAATCTCATGAAAAATCATAAAATGTAGTTGGTCCCCATATGTGTTGGAATTAGGATGGAAAATACTGTGATAATCCTGTGATTTGAAATAATATCTGTCTGTACTATTTAATGCTACATTTCTGTGATATGCTCCAGTAATGATTGGAAATATACGCATTTTTCTTTCTAAAAAGTGCATTTCTTTATACGAAAAGGTTCCAGTGAGCAGGGCGATTTATGCAGAGCACACTACTGGGTTTTGTCTATCCTGAATGCTCATTATCCATAATCATTGACTTACGCACTACCTGATTATTGTAAGCAACATTATTGTCTGTTAACATCTAACCTGTTATACTATTGAAAACCGCATACTGTATAATCAGCATAACAATAGCAGTAACTACAAGTATATGGTAAAAAAAAAAATAATCAATACAAATTAATAAAATACAATTTTTTCATGATTTTCAAGTTTATG